TAGAGAGCCTCACTGGGCAGATGAGATATAAGCAAAGACTTTAAGGAAGTGAGGGCACCGCGCACAGGGAGCATTTCAGGCGGAGGACAGCTGGCACACAGGCACCAGAGTGGGAGAACACCTAGCACGTTGAAAGAACAGCAAGGTTAGGATGGCTGGAACAAGAATGAGGATGGCTGGAACAAGAATGAGCAAGATGAATTTCAAGAGGTAAAAGAGGGCTAGGTACTGTAGGGCCTTACAGGCTATTACAAGAATTTTGGTTTTTACTTTGAATGAGATTGAGAGTCATGTAATGACTTATGTTTTAAAAATAATATCCTAGTGCAGGGTTTCTTAACCACAGCAGCAGAGATTTGGGGCAAGATCATTCTTTTTTGCTCAGTTTTCATTTTTAGTTGGGGGTAGGTTGCACTGTCTCATACTCTGCAGGACATTTAGTAGCATCCCTGGCCTCTACCCACCAAATGCCAGTAGCAGACCCTCCTCTCCACTTATGAAAACCAAGAATGTCTCCAGACATTGTCGAATGTCCCCCTGAGAGGCAAAATCAACCCAGTTGAGAACCTCTACTCTGGTTCTCTTCTAAGAATAGTCTGAGAAGGACAGAATAGAAGGCCAATTAAGTGTCTGTTGCAGTAATCCAGGGAATCTGGTAAGAAGTGGATGCATTCTGAACATACTGAAGAATCACCATGATATCCTAATAGAGCAGATATAGGATAGAAGATACTAAACATGTCACAGATGATGCCAAAGTGTTTGATTGAACAACAGGAAAAGCATCAGCATCAGGAGTTCAGCTCTGGACATGTTAAGCATGAGTAAGCCACAGAGAGATGAAGATGTACAGTAGGCAGCTAGATATGTGTACAGAATTCAGAAGAGAAGTCCATGCAGAAGATACAAATTTGGGTGTTGTTAGCATAGAAATATTATTCCAAGCTGTGAGACTGGAAATCAATGGTAAGAAACATAGAAGAGGATAAAAAACTGAGGCTTGGGGAACTCTAATCTTAAGAGGTTGAGGAGATGAAGATGAAACAGAAAAGGAGATGGAGGAGATAAAGCCAGTCAAGAAAGACAAAAAGTAGGAAAGAAAAGTGTTCTGGAAGCTCAAGTAAAAAACAGGATGCTGCTTATACATCAAATAGCCTTTTCTTCTTTTATAATTTTAGAAATATTTTTATGTTTATATAAGATTCTATCAAGGAAAGATACAATTGATTTAACCATTCTCCTACTGCTGGGCATTTGTCCTTAATAGATGAAGGAATGATTTAAACAAACAGCTAAGTAAGGTGTGTATTTAAGCCATTTCCAAAACTTTGCTATTATAGAACTCAGCAGTGAAAATCTTTTTGCAACAAGTTTTTGCTTCATTTAGTATAATGTCCAGTACAGAAATGGAATAACAGGGATAGACATTATAATCAATTCTGATGCTTAATACAGATTGTCCAGATACTCTCCAACAATACTTGTACTAAGGTATAATCCCAGTAACTGAATAGGAGAGCATTTATTTCAACTGCTCTCTTCCTGGCCAATATCAGGGACTACAGTTTGTTTTTTAATTTTTCCAATGTGATAGATACAAAATATTATCTTACTGTTATTTTGATTTGTTTTTCTTTGACAACTAGAAAATCGAACAATTTTTCACACGTTTATCAGTTGCAACTCTTCTTAGGTAACTTGTTGACTCCTGGAACACACGGTTTTTCTTTTTTTTTTTT